GTGTTTTGGTCAAGTGTCATGCCATACCCCTAATTGGTCTTGCCTTGAAAATCCTGCTTTACCTTCAATACAGCTAATTATTACGAATTTACTGTGCCTTGTAGGCATTAGAGAGTTTATAATCTCAAGTACCAGTTTCTATAGTGAGATGAGCTATGCAGACATTTGAAATTTATGGTAGGGCTGTCTCTGTACTTACTGGAACTCGGACAAGCAGAAAGCTCTTCACTTCTCCAGTCCGTACATTGTTCAACTGAAACAACAAACATAGAAGCAAGAATTTTAACTAATGCACTCTAATGCAGCTGACATTGTTGAAAATGCACTCATTAATATGGGGTGATCAAGTTTTTATCTTTATGGTGAACACTATACAGCCTTGGTGCCTATACATAAAATTTATACCTATGCTCCCATTGACATATGTATATCTCAAATTGTTGGTATAGCCAGATTTTGCAGTTCCAATTCAGTTCCTAATGGTGGGTAAATCTTACCCAATTCAAAAATTAGCACCAGCTTAATAATGCAAGATAGAACACTCCATGTTGGAATTAAGGGGCTCTTGTGACGCTTTGGCAGTGTCCCTATGTCTGTACCAGGAAGCCCAGGTTCAAGTCACCAGCTGCTACAGAGATATGTCATAAAGCATCTGAACAGATTAATTAAAGGTATCTATAATTCCTCCAAAGCAATTTGGGATACCTTAAGGACTCAAGTCTCTTTTTTGGTCTTTTTGTCTGTTTTTTAACTAATCTATATCATTGCCTGCAACGTGGGCTCTATAAGCCCAAGTTCAGATGTGGAGTTAACCAGTTCATGCTGAACCGGGATTGCTGGCATGTGTTTGAACTTTGAGAAATCTGAGAGTTCATGTAACACTGATGACCTTGTTAGAATTGGCACAAAATGCTACTGTTCTGTTCCCTAATTTACAAGGAAAATGTTAGTATTGCAAACATCTTGTGTGTAAAACTGTTTTGGTTCAATAATACTGGTTGAGGAAACTTAGTGTCCAGAATATTGCAACCGAATATATTCTGTAATGGATGGCAATTCAAAGCCCTTTGTTTGTGAAAATGCATTTGCTCTTAAATGAAAACACGTAGTGTTTCAAGTGGCAAGTATAGTTCACTGATGACCTTATAGGAAGAAAATCTACCATTCTCATTTGGTCTTGCCGACATCAGATTCTGAACCCAGCGATGGGGCTGACTCTTAACTGTTTTATGGATAGTTGCAGAAGATTAATAAGTACTGGCCTAGCTAGTGATGCCCACTTCCCATGAATGAATAAAAAACAGAAAGAACAACAGAATAAAACCCCATGCATTTATGTAGCATCTTTTGTGCCTCAATGTGCTTCACAGCTAATTAATTTATTTTTGAAGCGCAATCACTTTTTATATAGAGAAACAACCCAGGGCCACACAGCAAGTGAATGAAATCAGTTCACCTGTCTCGGTTTTTGTCTTTGACAGAGAATCTTACCTGTTGTGACAATGCTTTTGGTACCTCCATAACAAAAAAACTGGGCATGGATGAAATGATGTTGAAGAATCTTCAACAGATATTCATTATAACTAACTATTACGTGCAAACATTGTAATCATCTCCATAAGTCTGTGGGTGAGCTTTATGCGATTGTTTTACAACGCAACAACATGCTTCCAGTAGATTGTCGTGCTTGAAATGTTTGATATAAGATAGAAAATGAGATCTCTATATCCACAGGTCACATGCTGTGATAATATCATGAGCAAATCTTTTAAAGGTATACATGCTGACAGTGAAGCATGACAGAACAGGGGAGAAATGTGTAGATGCAGGATTGCCCCAGTACCACACTGAATTGTCATCCTCGGTTATGTATTCACGTTGAAGTGGGGCTTGAAAGTGCTGCAAGGCTAACAGTACAATTACCAAGTAAATCTTTTTGTTTTTGAAATCAATAAGTTTTCTATCTAATGAGGCTATATGTTTGTCATGTACATTCAAGAGAACTAGGCTTTATAACTCGCCTGCAAAATAAATATCTATCAGAATGCAATTTCTAAATGTATTAATTTTAGGTCTATAACTAAATTGCTATCATTTTGACCACACCAGGTCAGTCATAGTTTCAAATAACATTATGAAATGAAGTGAGATGGAAACTTACCTTAATGTAAATCATACAAAGTAAGACCTGTGATTGTATTTGTTATAGTCATTCCTAAAATTCATAAAGCTTAAAATCTTTGCAAAATGCTGCGGCTAAAACTATTAAGCAGCTGTTGCAATGTCATAAGAATAGCATGAACTGAGGAGCTGCCTGAGGCTTGGAGGTCACAGTGATGGACAATGGATGAGCAAGGAGCTTGCACAGTAGATTTTGAAAAATAATGAGTGTAAAATGATGGATCAAAAGTGAACAAGTTCACTGATGTGTTCAATGAAAAGGTGCTTTTCTGATTTGCAAGAGTGAGAATGAGTAGGATCCTCAAGTGGTTCTCCAGTTCACATTTTGAAACGTGGTAATGGTGACTGCTTCCCTATTTCTGTGCTGACTAAAGTCTGTCAGACGTATCATATTACAAGAAATATGGCGACTGTCCTTATAGATTTATTTTGATTGTTTGCTGTTCGCTATATTTCAGTGTACGAAGGAGATGATACCGAGCTACACATTAGATATCACTTTAGTCACAATATATCCATGTCATTTTGAGGTACAGGCTACAAATTCTCATATTGTAATCTATGGTTTTATAAATAAGTTATAGCTTAGCAACAGCAAATAGATATAGTTCTTTTTGCTATATAGTTTAACTCTGAAAATACAACCTTTTGAAGCCAAATACCTTCAGATAATGCTCTTAAATTTATTCTAGTTGGGCACTTCTAAGTTCTGAAGGATATGGCCTAGTGATTCCACCCACACCACCACCCCCACACACGCCTCAGTCCACACCAAAGTTTGACTTTTTTTCTCTGTATACTTTTGAAAAGCCAAGAAAGAATTGTTGGGCATTGTAACTTTAAGTGCATCCTGATTTTTAAATCATTTCATGAGGTTATTGCTGCCTAGACACTCTAGAGTCAATATAGCAATAATCAGTGGCCACAAGTGCCCACAAATGGAATTTCACAAGAGCTTCATTTTCTATTGGAATGAACAATGGTGATTTTTATTTTGTGTGTGTTATGCCAATGTTGTACTTCCAGTACAGAATGAATTGAATCTTGACTGTTAACAGTGAATTGACAAGGTTTTGTAAACATGTTAATTAAACGTGCAGTATTCTTTTTGCCAGCATTCCTAGGGTGTATTTAAGAAACTGTTTCAAATTATTTCAGTGAAATATTTTTTCGATATTTGTAGTGTTGTATATTAAAAACTTACGAGTATTTGAAAAAAAGTACATGCTATATTAAAAGCTAACATTTCCATAGAAAATTAAATGTTGTGCTATATATTTTAAATATCTTTTCTGACCCAGTTATTTTAATTTATTTATTTTTATTCTTTGTTGTGTTGTAGGCATTGCAGGCAAGGCCAGCTTTTGTTTCCCATTCTAATTACCTTTGAATCGAATGACTTCTCTGACCATTTCAGAAGGCAATTATGAGTTTTTTTCTGGCCATTTCTGGAGACAATTATATACTATGGGTCTAGATTCACATATAGCCCAGACCGGGTGGGAATGGCAGATTCCCTTCCCTAAAGATCATTACTGAACAAGAGATGTTTTTTACAATAATCAAAGATAGTATCATGATCACCACTACTAATCTGGTTTTAAATTCCAGATTGCATAGAATTTAAATTTCACCAGTAGCCATGCTGGTATTTGAACTCATGCCCGTAGGGTATTAACTTGGGTCTCTGAATTACTAGCCAGTGACATTCTGCTGCCATCTCCCTGGTTTAATTCTGCTGTGAGTGAAAACCAGATTTATGACACTTTGTACTGTGGTTATTTGAAAAAGTAATGGATTCTTAACCAAAATACATCTTTTGTCCTCGCATAGTCCTTTCTGACATTGAACATAGGCAAAACAATCTAGGATTTGATTCGAGTTGCTGATTATCTCCTGTGTTCACTGATTGAATAACATGTTGACTGGTTTTTACATTTCTCAACCTTTACCAATACTTCGCACGTGAAATTCTTATTTCCCCACTTAGATTTCTCGTACAGATTGCCTTGTGTTTAGTTGCATGATGTTTAATGTTAAACAAATACTTATGAAACCACTATAGTCGCAATGCTGCATTAATAGTCCACCTTTCAATTTAACTGGAATGTGCACTATACAATCTTCAGAATATAGAATGTATCTTGCTTGTTTTGAAGTCCTGATGCTTTCAACTAGAATATGCTTGATTGCTGAAGTAAAATCTCTCAATCAGCTAAACTGAAAGAACATGGAATATTTCAAGCTGTACTTATTTACTTAATGCTTTTATAAAAGTTACAAAAGCATTCATAACTTTCTCTTCAATTTCTTGACTGGAACTGCGCCGATTGTCCAATTAATTTGTCTTTTAAAATATTCTGCTGAGCTTCTTTCTGTGTAGCACCTTGTGGAATGCAAAATCTCTGGGGTAACTCTTGTCTAGATTTCAGTATTTTGTTTTGTTTTGTTTTTAAATTTAGTTGCAGAATGTTTGAAGGTTTTTTTTTCCCCAATTCTTGCAACAAATTTGTACAGAATATATTTCCTTCAGTTCTCCTTCTGTACAGCAATTTAAGAAAATGTTTTGGTGCTATTACTTGTGAACTGCATCCCAGTCTATATTACTATGTTAGCTATGCTGTTGAAATTTTGTTTTGCAATTATGATGGGACAATTTTTGAGTTTAAAAAAAAAATCCCGTTTGACGAATAGCTGAATGGAATATCAGTGTTAGAAAGTTATTGTAATCAATCATATCTGGGTATTTGGCAACTGGCGTGGATAAGCAGGTTAACTAACTCCACCTACCTCTGAATAATAATTTGTTTTTTTTTAAGCTATGGAAAGATATACAGCACAACTATTTAATACACCAATGTACTATGCCAAGGAGTGCCAGGGCATGCATAACCACAGAGCGTTTATTGATGAGACTATGAAACACCAGCATTTCCCTCCCAGAGTCTTTGATGACCCTATGGCAGGAAGAATTGTGTGTACGGAAGGAGTGGAGGAAGTGAGTGATGCAGATACCTGAAAATGAGGACGAAATAGTCTTTTTCTTTAAATTAAAAAAAACTTAAGTTCAATTATTTAATATTACAACATATTGTTTTCTCCCTTGCTGTTTTGTGTTGGTATTTATTTGCAAACCATTTCAACTAAATTGACAAATCTAAATGGGGAGGGGGAAAAGTAAAAGATTTGCAAACCCTGTTGCTTTTGCAAGTAATGACTGCAAAATGCTCCCAGTGCAAATGCGTATATTATTGTTTTACTCATGATAATCTTGGATTATTAGTTTCAGTCTTTTGTAATTTCAATCTGCTCATAAAGTTTGTAATAAATAATATTTGAACTGCAGTGCTCTCCAGTGTAAAAAAACATGTTCAACTCAGACTGGTCTTGAGCTACTTCATGATGTCAGTTCTGCTGAAATGTTAACTAGTCCTTGCCTGAAGCTGGCTGGCTGACTGACCCAGTGTATATTTCCAACATTTCCCATGGATTTTCTATATCAAAGTCCAAGAAGGCCTGTAGAAATACTGATACAATGGACCATATTCTGCTGTTGCAATGTGTATAATGTTCTGTAGCTTTAGATTCATCCCTGAAAGTTTAGTTTTAATTTTTTTGCATGACAATGTGTGGATATTTTGTGAAATAAATGGCAGAATGATGCATTATATAAAGCAATTTCAGGATTCTGTGTTTGACCATACACCTGCCTTCACCTCAGTTTGCTGGATTGTGTGTACATATATAATGTTCAGCATTCGTAATCTTGTCATTAATTTGATTGTGTTATAGGAATAGAATTTCATTGCACACAAGTCTAACAGCTGAGCAGGCAAAAAAATAGGTGGCAGTTTAACGTTTTTGATTTGATTTATTGTAGTCACATGTCCCTAAGTACAGTGAAAAGTTCTGTTTTGCGAGCAGTACAAGCAGATCATAGCAAACAAGGACATACAGCTCACAGGGTGCTCAGACAGCGTGCGGCATACAAGGTTACAGCTGCACAAGAGGTGCGCAAAGCAAGATCAACATTAGCAAGGTCAACAATTTGTAGTTAGAGAGATCCATTTAGCAGTCAAATAACAACAGGGAAGAAGTTGTTCTTGAACTTGCTGGTGCACATGTTCAAGCTTCTGTATCCTCTGCCTGGCGGAAGAGGTTGGAAGAGAGTATTACCGGGGTGGGAGGGGTCTTTGATAATGTTGGCAGCCTTTCCGCTGCAACCAGAAGTGTAAATGGAGTCCGTGGATGGGGCGTTGGCTTCTGTGATCGTCTGGGCTGTGCGCACAACCTTCTGTAGTTTCTTATGATTATGGGCAGAGCAGTTGCCGTATTAGGCCATTATGCACCCAGATAGAATGCTTTCAATGATGCATCTGTAAAAGTTGGTGAGGGCCCTTATGGACATGCCAAATTTCCTAAGCCGCCTGAGGGAGTAGAGGCGTTGTTGTGTCTTCTTGACCATCGCATCTATGTGGGAAGTATTCCTTGGTTGACCATAAGATCATAGATTTGGAGCAAAATTAGGCTACAAAACAATGGCCTAACGTGTTTGTCAACCTCCATTTTCCTGCCTTCTCCCCGTAACCCTTGACTCCCTTACTAATCAAGATCTATATATCTCTGTCTTATATACATTGAACAAATTGGCCGCCACAGAAACACAACCTTCTGGCTGAAGAAATTCCTCCTCAGCTAAAGGGCCATCCCTTCATTCTAAGTCTGTGCCCTCGGGTTCTAATCTCTCCAACTAGTGGAACCATCTTCTCCACATCCACTGTATCCAGGCCTCTCAGTCTCTTCATAGGATACATGGAACAGTCCCTCTTCTGCGGTTACACTAGCACCATCCCTCACCTCTTCCCCTGCTACATCGATGACTGTATTGGTGCTGCCTCATGCTCCCATGAGGAGTTCAAATAGTTCATCCACTTCACCAACACCTTTCACCCCAACCTCAAATTCACCTGGACTGTCTCCGACACTTCCTTCCCCTTCCTGGACCTCTCCATCTACATCTCCGGCAACCAACTCAACATCGACATGTATTTCAAACCCACTGACTCCCATAGCTACCATTACTACATCTCCTCATGCCCACCCTGTTGCGAAAGTGTGATCCCATGCTCCCAATTCCTCTGCCACCCCTCATCTCCTAGGATGAAGCATTCTTACCCTGGATATCCCAGTTGTCCTCCTTTAAGGACTGTAACCTCCCCATCCTGCGATTCATAATGCCCTCAACCACATCTCTTGCATTTCCTGCACTTGTCCCCACAAAACCCCTCCCCCCAACTACAATAAGGATAGAGTCCCCTAGTCCTCAAGTACCATCCCACCAATCTCCAAATCCAACACATCATCCTCTGCAATCAGACCCCGCCACCAAAGTGATATTTCTTGCCTCACCCCTACCTGCTTTCTGTAGGGACCTCTCACGCCGCGACTTCCTTGTCCACTCCACACTCGACACTCCACACTCCCCACTAACCCTACCACACCTGGCACCTTTCCCTGCCCCTCCACCTTCCCTCTCACCTTCATCCAAGGCCCCAAACAATCATTCTGTATCCAACAGGGATTCACCTGTACGTCTTCTAACCTGTCTCTTGCGTCCGTTGCTCCCGATGTGGTCTCTTCTACATTGGAGAGACCAAGAACAGACTCGGTGACTGATTCACGGAGCATCTGCATTCTGTATGTTCCAGTCAACAATGTCTTCCGGTTGCCAGCCATTTCAACTCCCCCTCCCGCTCCCTTGGTGATATATCCATCCTGGGCCTCCTTCATTCTCACAATGAGGCCACACGCAAACTGAAGGAACAACACCTTATATTCTGCCTCAGGAGCTTACAGCGTGATGGTCTCAACATAGAATTCACCAGCTTCAAAATCTCCCCACCCCTTGCCTCACCCCATGTCCAGCCCTCTCTCTCATCCCTGCCTCCTTGACCCGACATAACCTGTCCATCTTCCTTCTCACCTATCTGCCCCACCCTTCCCATTGACCAATCACTACAAGTCCCTATCTGCATCCACCTATCAACGTCCCACTTACCTTCCTCCAGCCCCAACCCCTTTTATTTATTGCTGAGCTCTTTTCCCCCTTGCCAGTCCTGATGAAGGGTCCCGATCCGAAATGTCCTGCTCCTCGGATGCTGTCTGACCTGCTGTGCTCTTCCAAGTCCACATTTTATCAACTCTTTGAAACTTACAATATCCTATGAGATCCCCCTCATCCTTCTAAACTTCATCAGGTACAGATTCACAGTCCTCAACTGCTCCTCATATGACAAGCCCTTCATCCCTGGGATCATTCTTAAACCTCCTCTGGAACTCCTCCCAAGACCAGCACATCCTTCCTTTGGAATGGGAGCTCAAAACTCCTCTCAATATTCCAAATACAATCTGACTATATACAGCCTCAGCAGTACATCCCTGCTCTTGTATTCTAGGCATCTCAAAATGAATGCTAACTATGCATTTGCCTTTATAGCTACCAATTAAGCCTGCATGTTAACCTTAAGAGAATCCTGAACCAGGACTCCCATGTCTGTCGTGCTTTAGATTTCCAAAGCCTTTCCCCATTTAGAAAGTAGTCCATGCCTCCTCTTCCTATCAAAGTGTATAATGTCACACTTTCCCACATTGGGCAATGAAGTGGCAGATGGAATACAATCTCCTAGCCTGTCCAAGTCTTTCTGCAGCCTCCTTGCTTCCTCAACACGACCTGTCCTTCCACCTATCTTATGTCATCTGAAAACTGAGCAAAAAGCCCTCAGTTCCTTCATCCACGTCATTAATGTATAACATGAATAGTTGTGGTCCCAACTAGTGAAACTCCACTAGTCACTGGCTGCCATCCTGAAAAAGACTCCTTTATCCCCACTCTCTGCCTACTGTCGATCAGCCAATCCTCTATCCATGCCAGGAGCTTGCCTCTAACACCATGGGCTCTTGTCTTATTTAGCAGCCTCCTGTGCAGCACCATGTCAAAGGTTTGTGGAAATCTAAATGGATTGCATCCATTGGCTTTCCTTTGTCTAACTTGCTTGTGACCTTCTCAAGAATTCTAGCAGATTTGTCAGGTATGACCTTCCCTTGACAAAGCCATGCTGACTCAGCCCAATTTTCTATGCACTTTCAAATACTCTGTAACTCCTCCTTAATAATGGACTCTAAAATCTTACCAACAACTGAAGTCAGGCTAACTGGCCTGTCTTCAGCCTCCCTTCTTAAACAAGGGAATTACATTAGCTATTTTCCAGTTCTCTGGGACCCTTCCTGATTCCAGTGATTGCTGAAAGATCACCACCAGTGCCTCCACAATCGCTTAAGCTACTCTGGGATGTAGTCCACCTGGTCCGGGCGATTTGTCTACCTTCAGACCTTTCATCTTCCCTGGGATCTTCTCCTTAGTGATGGCAACTACACGCACCTCTGCTCCCTGACTCTCTTGAAGTTCTGATATGCTGCTGGTATCTTCCACTGTGATAATAGATGCAAAGTATCTATTCAGTTCCTCCACCATTTCATTGTTCCCCAAAGCTACTTCTTCAGCCTAATTTTTCAATGGTCCAATGTCCATTCTTGCCTCTTTTCTACCTTTTAGATATCTAAAAAACTCTTTTGTGATCATCTTTTATATTACTAGCTTACTTACCCTTATTTTTCATCATCCCCGCTGATTGCTTTTTTTTAGTTGTCCTCTGCTGGTTTTCAAAGGCTTCCCAATCCTCTGGTTTCCCACAAATCTTCACCACGTTGTGTGGTTTTTCTTTTGCTTTTGTGCTGTCCCTGTCTTCCCTTGTAAGCTATGGTTGCCTTATCTGCCCCTTTAGTATATTCTGTTTTCTCTTGAGATGAATTTTTGCTGTGCTTTCCGTATTACTTCCAGAAACCCCTGCCATTGCTGCTCCATCGTCTTCCCTGCGAGGCTTCCCTTCCAATCCACTGTGGCCAGCTTCTCCCTCATGTAGTTACCTTTACTCAATTGTA